CTATAGGTCAAAGCATTCTGCCCATCCAAACCCTGCCTCTGTCTGTTCCCCCACCCGACCCCCTCCCACAGCGGTATTAGGAGGCCTAAGGAGTCACCCAAGGGCTGGCTTTCCTTCTGTTCTGCCTCCCACTCTCTCCAAATCCTGGGGGCTGTGCTCAGGGCCTTGTACATTCTAGAACAGTGTTCTAGCATCGAGTCACTCTCTAGCCCTCATCTAGTGAGTGCTGTGTCTCTTAGAGAGAGCAGGTCACACCTCTGGTCCCCTCAGAGCCCCACACCTACCTGTGCACACAGAAAGCTGTCGTTGCCGAAAGGTATGCATGCGCCGGGCGGTGGTGGCGCACGCCTTTAATCCCAGCACTTGGGAGGCAGAGGCAGGCGGATCTCTGTGAGTTCGAGATCAGCCTGGTCTACAAGAGCTAGTTCCAGGACAGGCTCCAAAACCACAGAGAAACCCTGTCTCGAAAACAAACAAACAAACAAACAAACAAAACGAAAGGTATGCACGCGTGACCCCATTTTCAATAAAGGGAACTGTTAATACAGCCAGTGTGGGCTCGGCCCTGGCCTTGTGTTTGTGGGAGTCGCTTTTCTCGGTTCTCATAGCGTCCCTATGTAGGGGTGCTGTAGGGAGCACATTTACAGATGAGCAAGCTGGAGTGTGGGGGTGCTTGCAAGTGTACCTCGGGGCCAGTGCATCTCCAGGTCAGGGCAGCTTCAGGTTCATCAGGTTTTAGCCTCTGCAGGGCTTCCAGAATGTTCTCCATGTTTCTCCTCGTTGTGTGTGCATGGAGCCCAATCCAGAGGCCAGGTGGCTGAATCTCTTTAGGCTTGGAGCAGCGGAGTGGGAAGACTCACTCACTGCCTCTTTTGCTGGTTTTGGTTATCATCTTAATCTAACTGAACCTGAGCTTTGAAAACAGGGAAAGCCACACATATTCAGGGTGCAAAACTCAGAAGAGGGACGAGAAGGACTAAGAACTGAATCAGCCTGACCTCTTGGAACCAGCAGGGACACTCCGGAAGGATGTCACAGGAGTGAGGAACTCAAGGGTTGTGCCGTGTCTGATGTCACCAGCAAGGAAAGCAGCCCTTAGTGCAGTGTGAAAGGCCCTTTAAAAGTCAAAGTTGTTCCCCACAGAACACAGCAGGCGTGGCCAGCCTGTTTGAAGCTGCCTGCTGGCGGAGGCATGGGAGGTGAGGTCCCGTAAATGCAGAACTATGTGCTTGTTAGCCCAAGATCGAGTGAGACTCTGTGTCGTCCTCGGAGCCATACAGCAAGAGGACATCACAGAATCTCACTGTTTAGCAACAAGATAGGGATCCTTGTGCAACCCCAGCCATTCCCAAAATCTCCTGGGGGGGGCATGTTTTTGTGAGAACTGACTGTCAAGGTCACAAACAGAATATTTTGCAGAGCAAATGGCCGAGCCATGTGGCAAGCACTTTCCAGAATTCCCAACTCTGGCCTAATGGGACCCCTCCCACCTGTGACTATCTTAAGGCAACAGTTCTTATGCCTTCCTGCATCCGGTAGCTAGCCTAAGCTCAGAGGCTGGGTTGCCGCCCTGCATTGGCTGTAGGTACAGGTGAGTCCTAAGATTCCCTGTGCAGAGCTAAAATTCTAGGCTTGTTTTCTAACTTGTACCTATCTGGGTCTACCCACAGTTCCTCCCTTTCTTAATGTGCCCTCTATCCAGGTGCCCCAAAGAGACCTCAGCTGGGCCGTGGGGAGGGAGGATACTCTGGGGCCTGGAGCCTTCCTGCAGGCCACAAGATTTATGGAACAGCGCTCCTAAACTTCCATCCACTGTCCCCACCCCAACTCTGGGTCAGAACACAACAGCCACGATGAAAGAAAAGATGCCTGAAGATGAAAGAGAGGAAGCTGACACCCCCAGCCCCCCACATCCCCCAACCCCCCCAACCCCACAACCCCCCCAGCAAGGCCTTCTGGCTCTAGGCCAGCTGCCTGCTCTAGTCCAGGCCAAGCCAGAGCCGATGAGTCTGGCGACATCTCGAGCAGGCTCCTGCCCATCCATGGGTCTGGGGCTCTGGGCACGTCCTCAGAGCAGCTGCTGAGGATAACCCAATTCTGCCCTCAAGTCAGGACTGTTTCCCTAAAGACCTAGTGCACCTTATCATTCTCTCAAAAGGCTATAAATAACCATTTGTATTGTAGGGACAAATGAGTCAATCAATTCATTAATTCAAACAGTCATGCTTTATAAACTATTTAACAAGGCCACAAATTCCTTATTAGCTCCACGATTTGGCTTCCTGCTTGAGATTCAGGCATCGCTCCTCTGGCAGCAGCCTGGCCCTCACGGCAACCCCACGAGGCCAGGATCCCTCATTCCCAAAAGTAGCACACTGAGGCCGGGAGAGATGAATGCTCTGCCTTGGCTGCTGCCCCAGTCCAAGGCTGTGGACGAGAACTTGACCACCAGGCAACGGGTTCACCTTTTCGCTCTCTAAACAGGTGGGGAAGAGAGGGAGTAAAGTCAGAGCCCACTGCCGTAGGAGAAGCCACTGTTGAGTGGGCTGTGGCAAATGGGCAGCGTGGCTTTCCCTCCTCCCTCCTTTTCCCTACTCTTCATCCCTCATCTGCAGGGCTTCTGAACCTAGGGTACAGATCCTCGTGGACTGTAGGGTCAAGGCTGGTGGGTACTCAGTACATGGTGCACGTAGGTGGGCTTGGGGCTCAGCCTCAGGGTGGGTCCCCCTGTCTCCTTTGTGTCTTTTGGCTGCCCTTCAGGAATACATCCTGAGGAGTTGGCCGAGGTAAGGACAATGGCTCTTGCTCAACTCTTCACCAGACTCAAAGGCCACAAGAGGTGTTTGAATCAGTTGGTGGGTTTAGGGAAGGAAAGAGGAAGCTGTCGGATCTACATAGGTGCACACAACATCCTCCCCACGGGGTGCATGTGGCTCACGGTGCAGCCACACCGTAGCCTGTGCAATTGGCTGTGAAGAAAAGAGGCTCAGACATACGTTGGCGTTCTTGTGCTGTTTTCGCCATTTTTTAAAAACTATGTTGAGTTTTTCTGTACTAAAGAAGAAAGGAAAACAGAAAGGCAGGAAATTCCAGTTCTTAATTCAAGTTTATGTATGTGTGCCTATGAATATGCATGAGAGAAGCCTGGGAAAGTACATTCCGAGCTGCCAACGGCTGTTATGGGTTACAGATCTCCATTTTCTGTTTTGAATTAAGGTCTCCTGTAGCCCAGGCTGGCCTCAACTCCCCACATAGCCAAGGATGACCTTGAACTCTGTTTACCTGGGGAGTGCTGTGATGACAGACGTGCCACACCCCCGGTTTAAGCTAACCTTCATTTTCTTCATATACTCTTCCTTTTGCAATTGGTGGGCGGGGGGGACAGGTATTAAGAAAAAACAAAAGAAACACCTTAGGCTCTAGACTCCCATGCAGCCTCTCAGCTGTGGACTCATTGCATTGAACCTCATTTCTCTCCATGAGGTGCACTGGGGACGAAATGAGGGGGTTCGGAGAAGGCACACCAGCAGGTCCTGCCTCCGGGTAGTTGCTTTTCACACACTCAGGCACCCCCAGAAGTGCAAAGTCCACAGGGGCTGGAAGCCTAGCTCTATGTGAGTGTGAGCACACACACACACACACACATATCCACACACGCACAAGCACACATTTGCACGCACTGGAAGCTGCATGCGTGGGGCGGTCCTGTCAGCTGCCCGGGTGGGTAAGAGGCAAAAGTCTATCCCTGTCCAAGATAAACACAGGAAGTGAGGATCCCAAGGTGCAGGGCGAGGTTGGGAGCCATCCATAAACTCCAGGGCGGAGATGGGGGGTGGTGCAGGGCCTGCAGAAGGGAGGGAGGGTGTGGGAGTCTGAGCAGGGGCCTAAGGCTGACATCTGCTGTCTTGGGTTCAAATGTGAAAAGTTGAACCAGTGACTCCACTTGGGGGCTGCCTTGGCTGGGTCTATCTTACCATGGGTCTGTCTGGGATGACACTCACCCGCATCTACCTCTTACTCCCCAGCACTGAGCTCAGCAAGGCCCCCACATTCAGCGAAGCCAGAACCTGGCTCAGCAAGTGTTGGCCGAAGTGTGAGGGGATGGAAACAACCAGTCATTGCTGACCAGGGACCCTCCGAGTCAGCTTGAGTCTGCATGAATCGGCACACATCTCAGTCTAGGCTATATCTCTGAGAGATTCCATCAGGGGAGCTGCCAGGACCAGCCTTTACTGGAAGCCCACTGGGTCCCAGAGGAGAGATAGGATGAATCTCTGCCAGCTCAGGGATTCGGGGAGCACAGGGCTCAGCACTTAGGGGGCTGCTGGAGAATGTTTGTGGATGAATAAGCTCTTGCTCGTGTCAGGTACTTTAGACCAGCTTTGAGTACTTTTTCAGAACCAGGGAGGCCAGGAGTGGAAGAGGAACGTTCTCTAGTTTATCCTCAGTCACCCTCGTTTAGCCATGAGGTTGGCAACTGGCTCTGACCAGATTTCCTGTGGCCACCCGTCTCCAAACTCCACCACAATGATGCCCCTCGGAACAAGGCACCAGTACAGTGGCACCGGGAGCAGATAGGACCTTTAGAGGACATCTCACTGGGAAAGTGTCCCCTTATCCTACCTGTAGGATGAGCCAAGACTGTCCCACCTGACTGTGACCTACTTCTTGCTGCCATTAAAACCTCTGACCCCAGAGTTGGGTCCCCAGTGGCCCCAGAGTATGGCCCTCCCATCCTACCTGCCCACCTGCCAGGCCCTCTTGGTAACGATACCCATTTCCATTCCTTCCCTGCACTGACTGCTGCAGCCCCACCCCCTGGATTTCTTCAGCTTCCAGCTACAGCACTGGGCACATTCCCCGGGCACCGCTCCTGGATTTCTCACAGCCATCCTTCCTCTTACTCCCCTCAGCAGTGTGTGAAGTACAGACTTCATCCATTATGCCAGGAGACTACACAGACCATGGGGGCAGTGCCCAGCCCAGTCCCGGGTATACGCTCCAAATCTGACTCCCAATGTCCAGTGTCACCTCTAGTCCTTGCCAAGACAGCTGAGTCCCCTGGAGTAGGGATGGGGCTACTGTAGAATGGCCTAATGGTCCAGGCTTCTTGCAGCCTCTGCCCACCTTGTGGCCTCCACATTTTACTGGTTTGACTTGGAGCCTCAAACTCACATCTTCCATTATTCTGCGGGGAACAGTACTCCTGTCCATGGCTCCTTGGCCAGCTCTCCTTCCCACCATCTTGCCCAGATCATCTTCTACCCAATGTCTTTTCTTTCAAACTCTCGAAATCAATTTTTTTCCTACCTCAGAGATTTGACTGTTGCTTCTATTCCTTTCCATAAAAAGTGCATTCACCAGTGGATGCCTGGGTGGCTGGAAAGGTGTGCAAGCAAATAGGTTGGTGTGCAAGCGAATAGGTAAGTGTGCAAGTGAATAGGTGGGCGAGAACCATAAGATGGGGGAATCATGGATGGTTAGACAGGTGGGTAAATTAAACAGATATGTGATTGAGGGAGTGGCTAGGTAGGGGGATGCATAGATGGATGGACCTGTGATTCATGGGTAGACAAATAGGAAGGGGTGTATAGATGGATAGATGAGTAGATGAGACAGACGGATGCATGAGGAGATGGAAGGGATGGAAAAGGGGTGGACAGAGGAATGATACATGAGATGGATGGATGGACAGAGGGATAGAAGTGAATGGATGAACAGTTGGATGGAAGGATAGATGGGATGGGGCACAGGTGTGTGGTTAGATGGATGATGGACGATGGATGGAGAAGATGGATGGATGAGGTAGTTAGGTGGATGGACCAGACTGCAGACTGGTGTGTAGGGCGCTGTTTTACAGAAGGAAAAACACAAGATCAGTTCTTCTGAGACTCACAAGCCAAGGGGGATGGAAAGATGGGGGACAGGCTGTTGAGTTCATCGGACTTCTAGGATTATGCCAGAGCAACCCCCATCCCCTGTCCTAACACAAGGGGCCTGAAATAGACCCCTCACTGAGCCCCTGCCCAGGGTCTTGGGTCCTGTGGTTACTGGTGTAGATAGGTAATTACTCAGGCCCACGTGGCTCTCCCCTGATTCCTTCTGTGGCCAAGCCCTCCCTTCCTACAAGTGCTTCACATGTGTCCTCTGTGGAGGACAGTGTCTTCTGTGTCTCTAGTTGTCAGATGCAGAAACTGAAGTTCAGCCCTAGGAAGTAACAGATCTGGGATCAAGTCCCCATCTTCAGGCTTGTCCGTCTCTTGTCTCTGTTTGCCAGAGGAAGAGTCTGCCGTTCAGAGTGGCTCAAACCACAGTGCCTAGCAAAGGTGGGTCGGACTTCAGCTATACCAGATTATGGAGGCGTTGAGTGAGGGGGGATGATCTGCGAATGTGAGAACCTTGAGGGTGAATGGGAAGGAGGTGAAGGGGGACTGGTTGGTAAGGGCTTCTTTGTGGAGTGGGCATTGACAGTACAGAGGGTCTGACAGGGCCAGTGTCCCCCCTTGAGTTCCCGTGGAGAAAAGAAGCACACTCTTCCTCTCTCTCTCTCTCTCTCTCTCTCTCTCTCTCTCTCTCTCTGTGTCTGTTTGTCCCCCCCCCCCGTGTGTATATGTGTGTGGTGAGGGCCAGTGGAGAAGCCTCTGGACCCCAACTTTGAGAAATGCCCTACCCCCTCCCAGGGCCAAGGGGGCAGACATGGCCAGCAGCCTCCCATCAAGTCTGGGCAGGAGTTGTCACTGTGCAGAGCCCACAGGGGTGGGCGGTCCTGTCTGGGCTGTTGCTAGAACCATCCATCTCAGTGAAGGATCACCCAGACGCCTTCATTCCTCCTCCCCCTCCGACCTCCATCAGACACTGTCTCTACAGGCCTGCAGACCACCATGGGCCTCTGAGCTGCACCCCTGCATGGGCACTCTGCCCCAGCCAGCCTCTGCCTCTCGCTCAGACCCTCTCCCTGCCTGGGTTCTGTGCTTCCCTCATCCCCATTCATCCTGAACTCATGGGGTACCTCCAATGGCACTCTGACAATCACGGGCACGGTGGCCTTGTGTACGTGAAGCCTGCTCCAAGGAAGCCTCTCTCTCCTCACCTTGTGGTGTCTGTGGAGAGAGGGCATGACAGTGTGGTCAGTGAGGTGGGGACTTTGTGGGTGATAGGCCGTGGGGCTGTCATCTTGTCACAGGACACGGGAGGGATGAGATGTCTAGAATAGACTTTATAGAGACATTCGTGTGTTTGGAAGGACCAGGCAGAACACCCTCGGGCTGCTACACAGCAGCACCCTACAGACAAGTGGTCACTAGAGGCCAGGAAGGACTGGACACTTCCAGCAGTCCCCAATTCCCAGAGAGCCCTGTGCCCAGCACTCCATCCTGACTCCGGTAGTGACTGTGGACCATGCTCTATGGCTCTTTAACCTGGTGGACTTCTTGAGAGTAGCTTCTCTGTCTGCCAAGCTGCAGGGAGAGAACCAAGGGACACTGGAGGGTGGGGTCATGCCTCCAGCTTCCGGACACTTCTCGTCTCCACCCTCCCACCTCTGCCCTCAGCTTGTGTCCAGAACAGTTGAGAACATGCAGTACATGGTGATAAAGGCCATTCAGTGAGGGGGAAGCCACTGGTTGGGGTGGAGAGAAATGATGGTCAGGTGCAGGGGGCCGGTGCTCAGAACAAAGCGAGTGCCTTGGCATGATGAGGAAGGAAACATGTTCTCTCTCCTCCCCGCCCTGCATGGTTCCCTGGACCCATACACACACACACACACACACACACACACACACACACACACACACAGAGGAAGGGTCTCACTCACTATATAGCCCTGGCTGTCCTGGAACTTGCTATGTTGGACAGACTGGCCTCAAACTCACAGAAATCCATCTACCACTACCTCTTCTACCTCCTGAGTGTTGGCATCAAAGGCATGGGCCACCATGCCTGGCTCTTTTTGTTTTTACAGATTTAGTGTGTGTGTGTGTGTGTGTGTGTGTGTGTGTGTGTGCCCGTGCGCGCACATGTGTTACAACACACTTATGCAGGTAGTTATGGAGACCAGGATAGGGTATCAGATCCCCACCTCGATCTGGAATTACAAGCAGTTGGCAGGTGCTGGGGACCGAACTCAGGTCCTTTAAAAGAGCAACCACTGAACCATCTCTCTAGGCTCACAAGTGGCGAACCTCGGAATCTCTTGTGATGCTGCAGGGACAAGCAAACAGGGGTTTGCATCCCAGCTGCCTGCTGCCCTGCTGGGAACACTTAGAACAGCCTCTGCCCTCCCCAGGCGTGTGTGCCTGTGAAACTCTTGAAATGGTGGTGTGTCTCTGGCCTCTCAGAGTGCTAGCACGCTGGACTTTCGTTCCAGGCTCCACACCTCCGCTGTCTTCTCCAAGGAGGCTCTCAGCCTTCCTCAGCCGTGGGAAGCTGAATCCTGCTCACCTGGTTTAGCAGCTCCAGATCAGCACCCCTCTCCCCTGGCTCCACTCCAGCTGCAGGCTTTTAGCCTGGCCACCCTTTCTGTTGCTGCCTGGCTATTTTGGGGCCTCAGTAGGCACCTTTCAGATGGGAGGTCTCAGGAGAAGGAACCAAAACCATTTATTTCCCTGGCTTCCAGAAAGCCCCTCAGGATGTGGTTGTATTGGAGGTCAGCTGCCCACTGTTAGAGTCCTTATGCTGAAGGCAAGACACACTCCTGAATCATGCCACCTTGCCCGTCCCCCGGGGGCCTGATCTTTGTTATATTTACTGTCTATGACATCTGATAACCCTGTGTCCTATAACCCAGCAAGGGTGGAGGATTCCTTGTCCCTTGACTGCATCCTCAGGGGCCAGCAAGCACCTTGCTTTGTACCTCAGGCTAACCGGACTGAGCAAAAGAGTAAGGGGACACTGAGGCCAGGCCAGACTGAAGGGATGGAGGAGGGGACTTCAGCTCCTGGCTGATGCTAAAGGAAGGAGCTGTTTCTTGTGGCCTCCTTGTCCACAGGCCTGTGAGCAGGCATGAAGATGGAGGAGCCTGGTGAGAGTTGTGCCCCAACTCCCAGGTAGAAAAGACACGTGGCAGGCAGAGGTCCTCCCTGACTATCAGATCACAGGTACCCCAATTCCACCCCACACTTCATTTTGTCATCTCCAACATACCAAGTCTGAAGTCCCCCACTCAGCAAGCCTCAAAGGCGCTTGGACCCCTCCTGGATCCCCAGCTGTGCACACAGTAGGTTCTTTACTGGATTAGCGACCACGGTTTCTGAATCCTCTCTGTTAACCTTCGCAGCCACCCTTAAAGTCAGGTAACATCTGTCCCATCTCACAGTTGAAGACCCTGACGTTTGAAGAGGTAGGAAACCTGTTTCCTCACTAGGTGAGGGAGCCATCTGCAGCCTGCCCCTCTTGACAGCAAGCCTGGCTGCGTGTGTTAGCTTCTGCAGTCCTTGCCTTGTCCAGGAGAGCTCGTTCCTGTGTGATACATCCACGTGAATGGCCATTCCACTGAGTGCCTGAGGGAAGGGGTTTCCGGGAAGAAGGTGGACTGCTCGGTCCTTGGCCACCTTGGCTTAGATGCCTGCTTTCCTTAGAAGGATGTCACTGTTCACCTGGTGCCGATGGTGACTTTATGTGGCACTTTTCTCCTTTGTCACATCCCACTTCCCAGATGAAGAAACCGAGGCCCAGAGTAAGAAGCAGCCGATCCACTTACAGCCTCAGAGACCAAGCAGGAGCCAGGTTGGAGGCTTTGGGCTTGGTTGGGACTTGGTGGATTTCTGGGACCACCTGTCCCTGCTACCCAAGCTCTGGCCCCTGGGCCTGGCTGGGAATGTTCTTGGGGAGGCCGCTGCCTGTGTCAAGGCCGTGCGTAAGTGTTTTATTGTTTGCCCGTGGAGGTGTGAATGAAGTAACCGGCCTTCTCCAGCACTCCATCCGTCTCGGGCTGACAGGCGCACTCTGAGCTGGAGCTGCTCTGTAAACGCTGTCACCCTGCCATCCCAAGCAGGCAGCTTCCTCCGGGAAACCGTAATCGGGGCCTCCCGCACCCGCAGCTGGCCCTGTCCACAGTTCATAAATCACCGCGGCCTTCCCGGAAAGCTGAGGGAGACAAAGAGGGTGATGGGGACAGACGGGGCTGGTGAAGAAGGGATGAGGACCCAGGACAGGCAGGTGAGGAGAGAGAGAGATGATACAACTGGTCAGACAGACCAACAGACGGGGAGAAAGAAAGCTGAGAGCAGAAAAGGCTGAGAAAGGCCGAGAGAGGAGTGGTCAGGTGTTCGAGAAGGGCAAAGATGGAAACCAGTGAGACTCACTAAACACCTGGCAGAGGGTGCAGCAGATAAGGCAAGGAGGAGGGAGGCCCGGGAGGACAAAGGGACAACAGGGGAGAGGAGCAGGGTGGCAAGAGGAAGAGACACAGGTGACAGAACCAGGCCAACATGGACAAGCATGGTTCCCAGGTCCTCACTTCCCAACTAGAATCCCGATAGAGTTCCCAGCCAAGAGGAGCAGAGGCCATAGCCTCCCTGCCTCCGCCCTCACAGACCTCCACTCCAGTTTACCCTGGGAGGACACAGTGATCCTTAGAGGGCAGGAGACACCCACGGCCACCATGGGACACCTGAGCCTGGGAGCCATCAGTGTGCTGTGCGCACCCTCACGCCTCCTTCTGTATGAACACGTGTGCACCTGCAGGGGAGCACTGGGCTGGACCTAGAGATGAAGCCACCTCTGAGCCCATTGGCCTCGCTGCCACAGAGCCAGCAAGGCCTAAGTCATTGAAGCCAGTGTGTGTGTGTGGTGTGTGGTTGTCTCTCTATGTGTGTGTATGTGGTGTGTCTCTCTGTGCATGTGTGTGTATGTGTGTGGTGTATCTCTCTGCGTGTGTGTACGTGTGCAGTGTGTCTCTCTGCATGTGTGTGTATGTGTGTGGTGAGTCTCTCTCTGTGTGTATGTGTGTGGTGGGTCTCTCTGTGTATACGTCCGTGTCCATATGTGTGGCATGTGTGACTCTGTGTGTGTGTCCATGTCTGTGTATATGTGAAAAATGTGTATATATGTGTGTGTGTGTGTGGTATCTCTCTGTGCGTGTGCATGTGTGTGTGATGTGTCTCACTGTGCAAGTGTTTATGCATGTGTGTGTCTGGCATGTGTGTGCATACGTGTATGTGTGTGTGTGCGTGCATGAGTGTGTGCAGGACAGAGGGCCTCTATTGAACCCTACTTTATTCTGAACTTTATTATGAATGCAGAACTAACCTTCTTCAGCTATTCTGGCCGGCGCTGACCTCCAGAGCTCCTCCCTGATCCTGGGATTATAGGCACATTCTGCCAAACTTGGATTTCTACACGGCTGCTGGGGATTAAACTCAGGTCTTCCAGCCACCACTAGAGACGCATCACTGACAGAGCCGTCTCCCCGGCCCCTGATTTTTATTTCTTTTAATCGTTCTCTTACCAAGTCCTGTCACTCTGGGCTTGCCAACTCCACATCGAGCATGAACAGATGCCACAGAGAAGGGGACCTCTGAGCAAAGACTTGGAGGAAGGTGAGGGGACAGAAAACCATGGGCACCGGGAATGTCGTGTGCAAAGGCCCTGGGGCAGGACTGTGCTTATAGACCAGGAGGAAGACAGTGGCTGGAGCACAGTGTGGAATGGAAGGAAGGAGGTGGGGTCAGAGAAGTGGGGGGGACCAGGTCACACAGGGTCTGTTGGGGCCATCCAAATGACTTGGGTTTTTCATATGAAGGACAGAGATCATTGGAAATGAGGACTACCTAGCAGGACCTGTCGTCCAGGCTCCTTTGGCTGCTGACTGGAGGTTGGGCTGGAGGGGTGGAACAGAAGAGTCTGGAGGTGGTACAGGGCCAGGTAGGGAGAGAGGGAGTGGCCCAGAGCCTGCATCTACAGCCCCATCACACAGAGAGGCCTGGGAACGGAGGCAAGTGCAGTTACGACAGGAAGATGAGAGAGGACAGAGGTCGGCCCATGGAAGCCTGAGCTGAGGGTGGTGAGCCTGGGAAACTCTGTGTGTGAGTGTGTGTGTGTGTGTGTGTGTTGTACTATATGGATGTGTGTGTCCATGGGTACATGTGTGGAAGCCAATCAGTCATCTGGTGTAGTTTTTCACTCTCTATCACTTTGCCTTGAGATAAGCCCAGTCTCTCTGACTGACTGGGAAGCTCGCTGGTTCTAGGCGACCAAGCTGGCGGGATCCATCTGTCTCTTTCCCCCAGTGCCAGTGTCACGAGCACTCACGGATACACGTGGGTGCAGGGGATTGGAAGTGGGATCCTCAGGCTTTTGAACAAGTGTTCTTCCCACTGAGCAGCTGCCCAGCCCTAAGGCCACTGGAATTGACAGGAGCATCAAAGGCCCTGGGGCCCCCGGACAACTCGGCTGGGACGTGAGTTCAGAAAGCACTAGCGAGGAGCCTGACGCCAGCAGGTGGGTGATTCTGTGTGGTAAGGGGGTTTGTGATGGACTACCAAAGTGAGGGGAGGAAACATGCCTGTGATGACACTGCTCAGGAGGTGGAGGCGAGGGCATAGCAAGCTCAAGCCAGAATGAACTGAATATCAAGACCCTGCCTTAAAAATGGGGAGACACAGGACTGGGAGAAGATTTTATAAAGTAACCGTTAGACAGACTCCCCACTATTGTCGCATTCTCTCCTGCCAGCCCCTTCTGTGACCACAGTCCATTATCAGAAGTAAGTCCAGGGTCTGGGGACAGCATTGTTACTGTGTCTCAGGCTCCCTCAGATTCCCACAGGTTGTCTCCAAGTGTACTGTTCAGGACCCTGTCTAATCCAGGGTGCCACGTTTCAGTAAGAACATGTGACTTTCAAGAACATGTGACTTTCATGTTATATTGTTAAAATAGAGGGTGTTGCCGCCTGAGAGTCTGTCAGCAGGACTGAAAAGCAAGAACAAGGATGGGACAGTCACCCTGATAAGTGAAGACCCTGTAGGTGCGGTTTTTCCTTGGAACCACTGGCTCCCCAACAGTAGACATGGAGGCTTATTATTAATTGTAAATGCTCCACCAACAGCTTAGTCGTGTTACTAACTAGCTCTTACAACTTAAATTAACCTATATGTCTTATCTACACTCTCCCATGTTCATCTCCTGCTTCCTCTGTGTCTAACTGGTGGCCCCACCATTGTTCTTCCCAGCATTCTTTTAGTCTGGATCTCCCACCTAACCTCTTCCTGCATAGTTTTTGACCAGTTGGTTCGTAATTAAACCAATGAGAGTAATGTGTATTCACAGTGTACAAAAGGATTATTCCACAGCATTCCCCCCCTTTTTGTCTAATTAAAAAGGAAAGTTTTAACTTTAACATAGTAAAACTACATGTAACAAAAGCAGTTACCAAGTAATAATCACAATTAAAATATCCAGTCCATTTGTATTTGGAAAAATTAGAGAAAATACTCAATCTATCTTTTCTTTATATGTCTAATGTTTTATACATAATTACCTTTTATCATAACTAAGGGAAACTTTAAGTCTAATTATTTAGTCTTTAACTCCATCAAAGACGGGTTTAATGTTACCTAACAACAGGGGCATCTGTCTGCCTGGACAGTCATCCAAAGTTCTTCTGTAATGTTGGGGTATCTATCTTTGGCATACAGGCTTAATATATCTTATAGACTTTTCTGTGAAGCAGGTGTTTTGAAGGACTGTCTGTCTTGGCAAAGTTCAGCAGTTGCTTTCCTTTGCATCCTGCTTGTCCTGTTTGGACAGTATACTGTCAGCAGTTGAGGCAAGGACAGCTTTTTTGCCCAGTGGCTAGCTTTTGCCACAAAGAAAGTAAAATCTATTCAGAAGTTCTTCAATGCCTACCATCTTCTCTGAAGAAGATTGGTGCTGTCAGGAGCAGACGTGTCTCACAGTTATGAAAAGTTTCAGGTTATTAAAGCATTTTTAACGTTACATTCTGTAGGTCTTTGAAGTGTTTGAAGACCATCTATCTATTTAAATATGTCTGCTTAGCCTTGCAAGTTAAATTATTAAAGTACTAAACCTGTATTTTTTAATTATACACTATATTTTTAAATGAGCTGCATAAGCACAATTCCCTAAACAAGAGTAGATACATATATAAACAGCAGAACAAAAATAACTTCAACCTTGTATCAATAAACCAAAATCTATACCAATATAAACTATTTTGAGATTAATAGTTGTTTTTAGATTAAAATAGATTCAATAATCTATCCTTTTATCTCACCATTTCTATATTATATCTCTCTTTTTTTATTTAGAAAGAGATCTTTGAATTTAACTCTTTTGTTTAGCTTTTCTCTTGTCTATGACCAATAATAATTCCCCTTAAATTATAACAAACATCCATAACCCATATTTTGGGAATGTAGGTGTTGTTTTCTCTAGACTGCTTCAAGTTGTGCTGACATCTCTGGAGGATGCTTGAGAAAATCAGTATAACAGTTAAGTCTTGGCTGGAGTAGTATAAGAGGCTCAACCATCTCAGCCAGCAGCCTTGAAGCTATTTTGGATGCAGAACTCTGAGGAAACTGCAACAGAGGTGCTCTGAGAGACTGGATCACCTGGGCCATCTGTTTTTATTAATATCAAGTCCCCCTGTCCTGAAAATACATAAACTTTCAAAAGTAACATATGGATCTACATTAATACAAGTAAAGACTGTGCTGTAAACAAGTCAACTAAAGATGATTTGGGGCTTTATGTTTGAGCTGCTGAAATATACATTACCTACCTAGCTATTGGCCAGTTGGCTCTTTGTTAAGCCAATGAGAGCAGTGTATATTCACAGTGTATAAATGGATTATTCCACAGCAGAGACCAGGGTCAACCCATACCTCTGTGTCTGTCCTCTGTTCGGAACCTGTGATTGGCTGGATAGAGAGGGGGAGCCATGACTCTTTTATTTATATATATATGTGTGTGTGTGTGTGTGTATGTATATATAATGTATATATATATATACATACACACACACACACACACAGAGGTCTCAAAAATGAACATGTTGCTCTTGCAGAGATCTGGGTTTGGCTCCCAGTATTTACTCGGCGACTCAAAACCATCCATATCATAACTCCAGTTCCAGAGGATCTGGGGGTACTCTTCTGACCTCCTCGGGCACCAGGCAAATGCATGTTGCATATACATTAAGCAGGCAAAACAGTCATAAAATGAAACAAATAAATCTTGAAAAACGAACGAATGCACAGATGACGAATGAATACGTGCACCCCCTTCTGTGTACGGACTAAAGACAGCACCACGATACAAGGTGTAGAGGTTAAGTTTCACTCCCTGTCCCCCACACCAAGCTCGTGAACACAGTCATGAATGGGCACACACAGACCTGTGAGCACACAGTGGACACCCAGGTCTGCGAGCACGTAGTCACGTGACTGGCCTGTTGGTACCCTCCTCTCCTGTGCTCTGAGAAATAGGACTTTTTCTTCTAGCACAGATCTCAAGCCTAAACCTCACTGGGGCAAATGGGTTCAAGCATGGCCCACAGTTAGACTTTAGGGCTGCAATTTTCAGTCCATAGGTCTCAACCCCCAAAGAGCATTGTAAAATACAGATATTTACATTATGATTCATAACAGTAGCAAAATTACAGTTATAAAGTGGCAACAGAAATAATTTTATGGTTGGGGGCCACCACAGCATGAGAACTATATTAAAGGGTCACGGCATTAGGAAGGTTGAGAGGCACTGCTTTAGGGGGAACTGGGGACAGACACTGTATTCCAGAGTCCCCACAATCCCCAGGGCCTGCACCACATGTACAGTGTAAACATCGCTCTGTTCTCGCTGCAGGGATCTGCAGGAATAGCCCGGGAAGGGGTCAACCTCTGCCATCCACCTTATTTTTAGAGAGACTTCTTAATTGGCCCGGAACTAACCAGTAGACCAGGCTTGGCTGTTCAGTGAGCCTCTGGGACCCATTTCTCTCCACTCCCTGGTGTCAGGATTCCGAGAGCACCACTATTTGGTTTGTCTTCTCTGTGGTTTTTTTCTTGTTTTATTTTTTTTACGTGGGTCCTAGGGGATTGAACTCGGGTCCTCATTCTTGCAAGGTCAACACTCTACCAACTGAGCAACACCCAGGCTCTCCCTTTCCAGGTTTCTTGAGTAAAGCAACTCTGCTCTGGAGGGAATTCCCAGTGCTGAGCATGACGGATCCCGTGTGTGGCGCCCCTTGGCTAGTCAGGACTTGAGATGAGACAAATGTAAAAGATTCTTAAATTGCTATGAAACCCCAGAGGTTCACCTGAAGAAGAGGAAGCACACAGAAATGGGGTTGCTTAAGTGATAAAAAAGCAAAACCCTCTTTAAAGAAGAAAACAGAGGAGTCACGCTATTCTGTGTTTGCAGAGTGTGGACGGCGCCTTCACCCCCCTCGCCATGCCTCAATGAAGGGTGGACTATTGAGGGGGGACCTAAAAGCAAGCCATTTATTCACTTAACCAGCACTCCTGGACACGGAGAGAAGAGGCAACTGGGGTGCGCCTTGGGAGGTAGAGATGGCAACACAGCCATCCTGCCTTTACGAGCTGCTGGTCAGGCAAGATGAGGCTCTTGTCAACCCCAGAGTGGCCCTGCTGAGGGGAACTCAGAGCCCATGAGTCAGCGGCCGTGTTTCTAAGAACAATAGTGCTCTTTTGATAAACATTTGTTCAACCAGCAAACTTCTGGACATTCAACAAACATTAAACATTTGTTTGCCCGACAGTGTTGATTCAGCTCGCGCCCTGTGCACCGAGATTTCAGACGTGTTAGGGACAGAACACCACGTGGCAGGCAGCCAGGCCTGTCCTCTGCAAAGGTCTAAAGGTGACAGAATGTCTTCTGTTGTCCCTTTTCATTGGTCTTAGCCTCTCACATTCAAGGGGGGTCACTCCCAAACTCCTCCTTTATTGACAAAATCCTTCTCATTATAGCTGGGGTTTTGTGTCCTTGACCAAAATGACCACCCTGATGTATAGCAAAGAATTCTATAAGAATTATGGGAAATCTTTTCCAAGTGTCCCAACCCCTGAGTGGCAATTTCACTTCTAGGAATTTAATCTAAGTAGTTCATCATAGGCAGAGATGAGGGTTAGCCTCAAGGGTTGTTGGTTAGTAGAAAAATGATCTCTTCTGCTTGGACAGGACACAGGTGCCTCAGACAGCAGTGGGGAGATCAGGCAAGAACATTCCCAAGGTACTAAGGATAAACACGGGTAGATCTGTTTTCACTGGACAATCCTAGTTTTGAAGAAATATTCAGGTACATAGAAGTGAGGTGTCTCTCAACAGAAGTGTTACACGTGGTTTTGTGGCATTTTTTTTCTGTTCTTTTAAAAAAGTTTACATTTAATGTCTGAGTCCATGGGTGGGTCTGCACACCACAGCACTTGTGTCTAGGTCAGGGGACACTTTGTGGAACTGGTCTCTTTCCTTCTACTTTATGGATCCTGGAGGATTGAACCCGGATCGCTGGGCTTGTCGGCAAGCACCTTTACCCACTGGCAGTGGTTAGTTCATCAAATTACCCACCCAGAATCACCTGGAAAGTTAGTCCCAGTGAGGTATTATCTAGACCATAGTGGCTTGTGGACACATCTGTGGGAGAATATCCTGGTCAGTTCTCTTCTTTAATGTGGGAAGATCCAGCCGGAAAGTGGATGGCGTCCACGCCCTGGTTTGGGTCCCTGGACTGTATAAGAGTAGAGAAAGCCAGCTTCATCAGGGACATGTGTGCACGCACTTCTCTCTGCTTTTGATGGCGTGTGAGAGGCTGCTTCAAGTTCTCACCTTGACTTCCTGCCAGTGTTGGACTGCAACCCGGAGCTGTAAGCTGAATGAAACCTTTCTCCCCTGCATAGCTTTTACACAGAAAATGAGAGTAGAGAACACGCCAAGCCAACTCACAGCCCCTCCTTTTTTTTATTAGTTATTTTGTTTGTTTGCTTTTTGTTTTTTTAAGACAGGCTTTCACCACGTAGTTAAAGCTAGATTTGAGTTCGCCCTCCACATGCCTGCATGCTTGGAGTCTGGAATTCTAGGGATAAGCTACTAGGATCTCTCTCTCTCTCTCTCTCTCTCTCTCTCTCTCTCTCTCTCTCTCTCTTTCTCCAAGGAAGGTTTAAAGGGTATCCCAGGCTAGCCTTGAAATCTTGAAATCTCTGAGTAGCCAAGAATGACCTTGAACTCCTGGCCCTCCTGCCTCCACCTCTGGCGTGCTGGGATTGCAGGTGTGTGTCACCGTGCCTGGTTTATATGGTGCTGGGGATTGGACCCAGGACTTCATGCAAACACTCTACCAATGGAACTCCATCCCTAGCCCCTCTCTCCTGGTTCTCTAAGTTTTGGACATACATATGGGCTAGGGTTAAAATGAGACACCCTGAAGTGTGACCCTCCCATGAAATCCCATGGAGCGGCAGTTTTAACAAGTTCCCTGGCGTTTATTACACGGCACTCAGCAACTTCATTTGGATTATAGGCACGACACCATTTCCAGAAATTCACCAAGGAAAATGTGGAACTATCCCTATCCCGGGGATCAGATCTGAAGATGGAACCCCAGGGCTTCATACTCCTGGGCCTCACACTTGCATCCCTGAGTCTGCAAACCGACTGATATATGCACGGATGTGTTTCCTGGGGTAGAACACGCACGCTGCTGGCAGGTGGGGCAGTCATCACAAGCCCAGGGAAGAGAATGATTTTAGCTGTCACGCTGTTCTGTTCTGTTTGGCACACATCCCCACAGAAATGCCACTTTGGGACAGTTCTCTCTTGAGACAGGATCTCTGTGTGTAACCCAAGCTGGCCTTGAACTTGCAATTCTCTTGCCTCAACCTGCTTAATGCTAGGATTACAGGTGTGTGCCACCATGAGTGGCTTCACAGCTGGTTCTGAAGGTTGCTTGGGTCATTCCCAAGAGACTCATATTCCCAGCTCTCCTCCCCAAATGCACCTCCTCCTCTCCACCCCAACACCCATCCGCACAAACAGAGGACAAGCAGAAACAGTGTTGGCAGCAGAGTCGGCTTTCCCTCTGTGAAGAGAGAACTGGACAAAAGGGTTAAAATATACCATGGTGTCTCCAGGGAGTCTTCAGATTCTGCCAGGAGCTCCATCAGGGGACACAAGCAAGCCTTTGGGCACATAAGCACGGCTGTGAGCATGCACATGCATGAGTGCTCTTGGGAAGAACACGTGACTCCACACGCCAGAGCACTGTGATCGCATGACCCAGCCCAGCCTGCTACTCAGTGTCATGATATTGAGCAAGCCATGGCCCCTGGAGCCCCTGCATCTTTCATCTTTGTAGGCGAGGGAAGGCTGAGGTAGGACACTATGGTATGTCTTTACACAATCCCAAACTGGGTGTCCAAAGACGCCCCTCCCCCCACATCATGTTAACTTCTACACTCTTGCCCTTCAGGGATCCTAATGGGATCCCAAAACTCACATAGTCAAACACAAGAGCCATTACTGTCCCGAAGTGGTGATTCTGTGAGGACATGTGGCTTCAGCCTATCTAGGAAAGGAGCCAAGCCCTGGTTACTCAGCCAACTCTGGAGCCCCAGAAAAGGGGAGCCCACAGACTCAGGGACTCTCACTACGGCCCACCGCCCAGCGAGGGGCAGGCAGACCAGGGTCCTACCTCAGGGCAGCCAGGCAGGGATTTATGGGCTCCTGCTGGACACGTTAAAGATCACATTAAGTACAATAAATGTAGATCACGCTCGTACATAAGCGGAGATTTATCCCCCAATCCTTCCCACAGGGGCCAGCCTCATAAATCCGCCCACGCCTGTCTCTTGGCCTAGGGGGGGAAGGGAGCAAGCAGGGAGGCAGTAGAGGGTGGATCCAGGTACAAGAAGATTGGAGCCCAGAGGGGCTGCCACAGCACCAGTTCTCTCCCTAGCTCACGCTCCTTTGAGATGCCACGCCCTCTCCTGGTCCCGCCCCTCCTGTCCGTGTCTACTCTCCGTTGCAGACATTAAAACAAAATAACGACTGTAGGAAAGTGTCTGCAGCTTCAAAGCGGGACGCTCAGCTATAGTTGACTGTCTTTGTCCCCACCCCCACCTCGAGGGAGGCCCGTGTGAAGAGAATGCAGATTTCTAGAGCCATAAATTAAGGGGTGATCAGTCACGTTGTGATCTTTCTTCAAAGGGTTCTTTAAAAGGCTCCTCCATTGAAGTGTTTATAGCACAGTGAGTTCCAGACGGAGAGGCTGTGTGTGTGTGTGGGGGGGGGGGGTGCTGTCAGGGGAACGGCCAGGGAACAACAGAGAAGATTCTGGGAGAAACTGGGAAGGCCCTCCCACAGGAGGGACATCCTCAACAGGACGATGGACGGGAAGGACATCTCCAGATGGCAGGGATTCAGTGGCGGGTTGCCCAGCACCTGTTTGGTGTTGCATCTGGTCCCTAGTTCTGGGGAAGTGACTAGAGCAGGACCCTCTACTCCTCCCGGGGTCCCTTGTGGACAGAGTATTGGGAAGGTCCGGGTAGGGAGCCAGGAGGTGACAGGATCAGAGCCACACTGGTTCTGGGATGCCAGGATGAGGTTCAGAGGACTTCCGGGTGTGTCCATCTCCAAATGTCAGGGACGGCCTGCAGGAAGGACAGCAAGGGAGATGAATCTGTGACAGAGGGTTTCTTTCTGGGTTTTTTTTTCCCCCAGAAGAAAAACAGCAATGCCGTTCCTGCTTTCCCGGAACTCTGAAGTATGGCTTGTGCTGGATTAATTAACCTTAAGTTTCCCCCCCTGTTTCTGGGATCAAGTCGTTTTAGCCACTCAGCACCTTGGCCCACAGGCAGCAACCCGACAGTGAGGGTGAGCTCACAGGGCAGCAGCTGGGAGCTCAGTGGAGTCTCTTCAGAAGGTGGAGACAGATCTGCGGGAGCCCGGACTCTCGCCCTCTGCAGCCACCACACAGCCTACCCCGTTTCTATCTCTCCTGGCCTCCAGTCTCTGCTCCAGCTGCTGTTGTCTCCTCTGCCCAGCAAACTCCTATTCACCTTACAAAACCCAACCCTGTCCATCACTGCTCATCTTATAGCATGAATTTGCTGTCTGCTGTCCTTGGATCACACACTCCCCAAGGACAAGGACTACATTTTGTTGGCTCAGTTCTTTGAGCCAGTCCCAGTGACTGGCATAGATAGCCCCAGAATGGAATGCTTTGTATTTGTGCCTTTTTGTCTTCTCATAGTGCTTACTTACATGCTGTCTCTGACTTCACCCAACCGAAGCCTTAAAATGGGGGTTACACTCTGGGACTTTGGGTCTGTGGCCTTGGCTCCCATGTCATGCAGAGCTATAGTGGAATAAATTTGTCTTGTTTATCTTTGTCTTTTGGTCTAGGGACAAGGACCAACTCCCTTGCAATAAGCAGAAAAGGGAGCCACTCCTTTGTCCGCCTCTAAATTATTAGGTTTCAGGTACCAGGCACCTAGTATGTCATGTACGTATCATCTTGTTTTACCCCACAGTGACCCTACAAGGAAGAGTTTTGCTTTTTTCTTTCTGAAGTGTTTTTGTTGCTATTGTTAAATATACCGGACTTTTTTTTTTTTTAGCACAAATACTTTAATTTTAATTGACATTTCATTTACGGCGCACAGTGTGATTTTCCACATATGCATACAGAGTATGACAATCACATCGTGACCACTGATACACCTGCCCACCGCTCACACACTGGGCATCCCTTTGCTGCCATTT